TGTTTTGCTCGGTTGGGTGATGCTGGTAGGGTACCAAGATTCGTGAAAGATGCCGGAGCAGGGCAGACTGCAGGTCGAGCGTGGCAGCGGCAGATGATTTGTAAACAATAGGTGCCAGCTAGACCACGCTTAACAACCCCAGTCCCCCAAACCGAACCGGCAACTGGGCCTGAGACCAGCCCCTGTCTGTCAACTCAACATTGCATAGGGCTGACAAAGCTGACCTCAGGGCGCCATCGAATCCGCCCAAAATGGATGCATCAACCGAGAAGGATGTACGAAGGAAATACATCAATCTAGGCAAACTAAGGGCGTTGCGGACGATGGTCAGCGCGTCGTGGACCGGAAGATGAGACACTCGGTCGAGGGCGAATTTCAGCTCTGCGATGTATGTATGTATGTATGTATGTATGTATGTATGTATGTATGTATGTATGTATGTATGTATGTATGTATGTATGTATGTATGTATGTATGTATGTATGTATGTATGTATGTATGTATGTATGTATGTATGTATGTATGTATGTATGTATGTATGTATGTATGTATGTATGTATGTATGTATGTATGTATGTATGTATGTATGTATGTATGTATGTATGTATGTATGTATGTATGTATGTATGTATGTATGTATGTATGTATGTATGTATGTATGTATGTATGTATGTATGTATGTATGTATGTATGTATGTATGTATGTATGTATGTATGTATGTATGTATGTATGTATGTATGTATGTATGTATGTATGTATGTATGTATGTATGTATGTATGTATGTATGTATGTATGTATGTATGTATGTATGTATGTATGTATGTATGTATGTATGTATGTATGTATGTATGTATGTATGTATGTATGTATGTACGTACGTACGTATGTATGTATGTATGTATGTATATATGTTAAAACCAAAACATGATGAGTGACACTGAACCGTCAAACACCAAGTAACAAATGGATTAACACTTTGATTTGTCGTTAATTGCACATGTCGGCATTCAGTTGGGTATTTTCAAGCACACAGACACGCAGGAACCGCTGCAACAAGCACGAAATGTGGTTAGTTGCGAAAAACAGTTCCCTGCTGTCGCCTGATCTGACACTGATCATTTTGCATATTTCCTTAAGAAATTTAAGGGTGTTGAGGTCCATCCGGCCAAGAATCTCGATGCATATTGGCAAGTATGTATTGGCAAGCATATTGGTATGTATGTATGTATGTATGTATGTATGAATGTATGTATGTATGTATGTATGTATGTATGTATGTATGTATGTATGTATGTATGTATGTATGTATGTATGTATGTATGTATGTATGTATGTATGTATGTATGTATGTATGTATGTATGTATGTATGTATGTATGTATGTATGTATGTATGTATGTATGTATGTATGTATGTATGTATGTATGTATGTATGTATGTATGTATGTATGTATGTATGTAGGTAGGTAGGTATGTAGGTATGTAGATATGTATGTATGTGAGCGTGTTCACGTATGCATGTATGTCTGTATGTTTTGACCATATGTATGCTGGGTGTTTAGTGTTTTGTACGTGCATGTTTTGTGCGTTTGATGTGCCTGCGGTTAGGTATGATGAAAGTTGTTTGCTGGAATATTTGAAGACACTACGTGAATTGTGAGTAAGCCTTCATTCGTCATATCGGGTTCGTTGTGTTCTTCTTCTCATGATTATTATGCTCTCAATTATATATATGCACATTTTATACAATTTCACTTTTCAAATAAAATTTAATTTTAAATTAATTAATTCACAAATTGCAACTAATTTTTTAGAGTCTCCCATCGAAACAGCGCAGAAAATAAAAATGCTTAGATTAAATTTTTGTTTGGATGTTTTTATTGTTGTTGTTAAATGAATGTTTTTTTGTCACAATGTTTTGTCAGAACATGTTCATCCTAATTGCATAGCGTAGGTTGTTGTTATATCTTTATCCTCAATTTGTTAATGATGTCGTTTGAATGACTCAGCTGGGATCAGAGCAGCAGAACACGATGAATGAAACATGGCAAAATAACAAAATATGAAACATTACTTCTATAAAATATATTGTACATTATTTTGAATTGAAAAAAAATTTTAAAGTTCAATAAAATCTGTCCATTGAAATATTTTACTATTTCGTGAGGTTGGATGTTTGGTACGTTGTCATCATCCGAGTTTCCACCTTCACCACCACCATTGATCATCCACGTTATGACAATCCCCATCACATTTTTCCCTCTGAACACCAACACACTGACACACACACATCAACATACGAATGAATTTTTTAGAAGTTCAAGAAGTGGAAGTGGAGAAGCAGTCAATAAGGAGCAAATCTGAAGGCCTGGATGCGTTGTGCCACAGTACCAAGTTCAGCAGGAAGGAGCTGCAGATCATGTACAGGGGTTTCAAAAATGTATTTCCTTTCTTCCTTTTGTTGTTTGCATGTGAAAATATTTTTTTCTTTGAAAACTTTTTTCTATATTTTTATCTATTTCATCGTTACACGCAACTCATTTGTTTCCCGTGAAATATCTCACGCGTTTTCATTTTTCTTTCGCTGATTACAACGTGTATTGTATAACAATTGTCTATTTTATTAACGTTTACCTTTTTCTCTCTCGCTATCTTTTGCTTTTTGTTTGTTAAGTTGAATTTGACTCTTTTTTTGCAAACAATTTTTTGTACACATGTGCTTGCAAACGGGATTTGATGTATCGGTCCTTTGTGCAGATGTGCTGTTGTCTCGGTTTCATTATTTCTTATGACATTTAAAATTTTTCAAAACATGAAGTTAAATTTTTGCTATAATGTGTGGCTCTTGCAAATAAGTAAAGCGATTTACAAGAGGAATATAAGTATTTAATTCATGCGAAGTTTTGTAGCAGTGCGGCAAGGAAGTTATGTTGAGAGAATCAATTAGTCACTCGTAACAACGTTCACTGGATGCTGCCGAATATTTCATTTTAATAGTGTTGGTTTTGACTTCATCCGGAGAAGATAATTCGTCTGATTAGTTTTTTATCGATCGGTTACAAATTCATTAATGCAATTCTTTCGTTCTGTTCTCATCAACAAATTCATCCCTTAGATATTCAGACAGTATAAACAAATATTTCACTATATAAAAATTTAAAAAAAATTTAAAAAAATCAAATATTCTGAAATTTTACAACATTTTTTGGAGCGAAATCAACGGGACGGAATTCATAACGCCCTCCACACGATCTGGTTTACGTTCAGACTTGCCTGTGCAGGTTTGTTTTGTGCAGTTATGTCGGAGCCTGTGTGTCATTCAGGCAGCCTGTGCAGACTACAAGCCTCCGGCTTGTGCTAATTCTGATTTTTCTGCGGTTTTAAATAAACTTTATCAACCCAATCTTGTTAGAAGCTAAACTGTTTGGAATTATTTACAATTTGTACAACTGTTTATAAAAGAATTCAAAAAACACAAGTTATCAAAATAACAAAGGAATGATTTACTATACACCTGTTTAACAATTTGATGATTCATTGGCTCTATCTCTAGCTGTGGTTCGCTTTCACTCTGCGAAACGTTGGTTGGACTATCGCACGCGTTTTTTTATGACACCTTCATTCATCGGTGCACAGCGTGCACTTTTACGTTTGATGCTTCGAGGTTAACGAGGTGTAAGTTGTCAAACATCAGCTCTCTGCACGGGTTATTCTCAGTTACTAGGGTTCATTCAGCAGCTTCAATTTTTGATTTAAAAGTTAAAATAACTATCGTTGTTGAACGCCAAGTGTTTCATCAATGGTTGTTTTTAACATGGTTCCTAAAAATTCAAATAAAAATTCACATGAGTGTCACTGGTGACAATTAACTGCGAATAAACTAAACTATAATGATCTATAAACTAAATTTTTTAGTAAATTTCAAAGCGGTTTTTCAGTCGTGAAGTTTGATTATTTAGAAATTTGAAAAATGAATAAATTTAAAAAATTTTCACGAGCTTTTGGGAAAATTAGAATACAAATGGATACCAAAATATGCGTACGTGTCTGTAAACGTAGAGATGCTATTTTAAGTTTACGAGATAACTTTAAAGCAGGAGCAGGTAAAACTGACACATGGCATTAATTAAGAACTGTGATCATGAGAGATTCGTGCTTCAAATGAAGTAAGCTCTCCATGGCACCAACATCACTGAACGCTATTTCCCCCAAGATTTTTAAAAATATTTTATTAATTAGTTTTTTCTATTACAATTTAAAAAACGTTCAACGTAATAACAATAGAGTTGAAATTGGGTTCATAGAAAACTAATTTGCTCAATCTGATAAACAGATTCAAATAAACATTCGTCGTACGTTCGTTTGTGTTGTGATAAGTTGATGTAAGGTATGTTTTTATATTTAGACCGTTAGAAAATATTCTTTTAAAGAAATTTCTCACCGAAAAAGATTAATTTTACTTAGCTGTTGTATATATTGGAACGTTAAAGTTTGAAAATAAAATTAAAGTTGCACACAAAAAAAGCTTCAGCGAGTGTGCACATCCAACTTGTAGCCTACGTACAACACATTTAACTACTTCTAACACATTTAAATATACACGAATGGTATTGTTAAATGCAAACAATAAATATTTCGTTGTTCAAACAGCACTCCAGTATGATCAATCACCTTCTATGACAGACGAGCCAACAATTGGAAATGTCATTTTTCATGCATTTGATTTTCAAATTGCAAGTCAGCAACATCAATGACGTTTTATTAAGTTATTATTTTGTTTTAAAACGAGAGAGTAAAGGTGAGCTGAAACAAAGTTGTCTTAAGAATGAAAAAATAGTCTAGAGACTTGCATAAAAAGATTTATTTCCATCTTGAAACCAACTTTTTAAAACTTATTTGAATCTTTGTATGTTATTGATCGCTTTTTTTCAGGTCAGGCAGCTTGAAAATGACTCTCATGTTTGGGGCTTTTTTTCAATTTTTAATAACAACATTTCTTTACGTCCACTTTTATCTTCCATTATTAAAATCTGAGTGTTTAACATGCACGCTGCTGATGTCAGGCGGGTAAATTTCGTTAACATTGGTTAGAAATGCAGTAAACTAAGCCGGAAAATCAGATTTATCTGACATTATTCATGGGGTTTGATTGGCTATTAAATTAACTACCAAATTTAAATCTTTAAAAGTTATGATCATTCTGACTTCACACAAAATTTTGATACACTTAAAAGTTTGAAAAGCAAAATGTTACCTATAAGTATATTTAGAGTGTGAAATTAAAATTGACTCCAGAAAATGTTGGAAAATTAAAACAACTAATTTAATCATCTTTAAAAAAAATTAGTGGCGATATTGTTCAGATGGTTCAAAGAAGCTGACTAAGATAACACACGTAGACATTAAAGATTATAGAATGCCTGCCTAGCAAGAACTTAAAATTAGATAGGCCTAACTTCAAGTGACGTTGCAAAATGTTGGACAGCGTGAAAAATAAACTAAATATGCTGACCAGTTTGTTTAGGAAATTAGCCATCCTGTTGGCTGGCCAGTATGTCTACATGGGCAGTTAAATGACCAGCAATAGCAAATGCTCAATAGAAATTGGCAAAAGGTTTACTTTTGCAAAAAGATTTGCTTCATTAAAAATTTTGAAAAGTGGCAGCATACCTTGAAAAGGAAATTAATAATAGATAGAATGTTGAATGTTTACGACGTTCTTGTATGCCTGCGAACATGGGTGCTGAGAGAGAGATACAAAAGTAAATCACAATTGCTTGAACTAGTTGAAAAAAATTTTGCGTAACAAACCCTTAAAAAATTGGAATAAAAAACAAAATATTAAAATATGAAAAATTTTTGGCTAGAAAATATGGGCTTCCGGGTCATGTTTGCAGAATGACAAGTGACAGATTATTAAAAACATTATTTGCGAATGTGCGTGCATACTTTTGTACGTGCATGCAACAAACCAACCGTTCACAAATAAGTTTATCCCCTGCCGGCTTACAATCTCTAATTCAATTTATGAAATGAAGCCTGGTTTTCAATGTCTTATTCATGGTTACGTGTTCCAAAAACGTTCCATATTTATTTCAGTAACAAGAAGAATTTGTAAAGTTACTTCTCAAACGAATTTGATTCTTGTAACGTTTGGTGGCGCTCTATTAGGCGGCACAACCTGCAGCATTTTGAAACTGTGTGAGAACCGATGCATTAAACATCGAGACAGTTTTATATTGGTTAATAATTCATAAGTGGGTTTTTGAAAAAAATTATTGATGAGAAAATTATGTGAGATGGGTTGAGGGCATCTCAGGGATGTGCATGATTTTTTCGTAACTAATAATGTATTGAGCATTTTGTTCATATTCTTATGCATTACGTTCATCCGTTCATATGTTGATTAATTTTAGTGTGATGTGATGTACTGTAATATGATGTGATGTTATACAATGTGATGTTTTATAATGTGATGAAGTGATGTGGTGTGAGTGGAAATTCTTCGTAGATTGTCTTCATAGGAGACAGCATGACGTGTCTGGTTGACGGTGCGCCTATCTGATACGTGTCCTTCTATAATGTCTATTTATTTATGAGCCAGTTCAAGCATGTGACGGGCTTACATGTTTCTACGAATGCGTGTGTGTTGTGCATGTGCTGCTTGCCTGTGTGTGTAATTGATGCACGTACGCACACTTTGATGTGTGCGCGTTTGTGTAACTGCGTGTGATTTATCCGCTTTATTTTTCATTCACCGATTTGTAAGCAACATTTTTCCTGTACTACGGCTTAAGTATGTGCGTGTACGTACATGTTGCATTTGCGGTGCGTGCACGTTTGCGTGTATGTACACTCGCAATTATGTTGAATAATTTTGATCTACTTGAATGTGCCACCGTTCCTGTTCGTAGACGCATACTTTGGAGAAGCATCAAATGAATGCGTGTGAGAATGCGTTCAGTGCCTCTGTTCTGTACTGCACAGTTGTGAAAGATTAAAAATTGCCATTCCTTAAATGCCGTCACATGTTTAATGACTCAAATTACGTGAGATGCTATGATTTGTTGCAGTGGTGCGTTCCATGCAAATGAATCCCTCAACCTGTAGCACTCCAAGATCAATCTCGCAGTCTTCCAACCGGTAATAAACTGCCTTGCGTCGTGCACCATCCAATTAGAGACTTCCCTCATTTCAAATAATTGAATCTCACCAAGTTGTGGTTTCAAACGCGAGTCCCGATTGTATGAAAGCTCAATTGAGAATGCTTTGATGGATGTGTTCTGATGCATAGTATGAATAGGATGGTGCTCACCAAGAAATAAAATTGCATTTGTCATTTAATGGTTAAAACTTTTATCTTGAACGTATTATAACTGAGTTTATAATTTTCAGATAAGTTCAGAAATTTTAAATTATTGGAATTTATGGCAACAACAAAAGTGAAATTAAAAAAAGTTGAAATGAACTTAAACATTTTCACAAAAAGTTTGAAATATTGTAACAACGAAATACGCAAACTTTGAGCGCCGACTAAGTAATCAAAAGAAGACTGCAGAATAAAATTGGTGGCGAGGGGGCTGTTTGAGAAGACACAAACCGATGATTTATGAGGGCGAACGTGGCTTCAGACGCAACTGTTCCCTCACCGTATTGAATAATTCAATCGACATCAACAAACGCTGCTTGCACTTCGGCATATCATGCAAACGAATGTTGTTTGTTAAATAATCAAATTTGTACTCAACACACAAAGTGTTCTCACTAATCAAAGCATTGAGTTTTTATCTTTAGCAAACAAATCTTGAAAAAGCATTTTAAAAATTATCAAGTTTTTCTATATTATCGCATGAAGTTGAACACAACTGATGAAATCATTAGAACATACACAACGTTACGTGCAACGATCACAGTTCATTTCACAGCATGAAAGCACAAACGCCAAGCAGATGATGCTTGTTGGTGAAAAGATGGTTGTTGTTGTTGTTATTGTTGTAAAACTTTTTTTATTTTTGCAGGAATGTCCGTCGGGGATGGTGAACGAAGACACGTTCAAATTCATCTACTCACAGTTCTTCCCTCAAGGAGGTAGGCAGTTTTTGTTTCGTTACAATAAATGTTTTCATACTCACTAAAATGTTATTCCACTAAAAACAATTTGAACATGTAAATATAAACGGACTGGTGAACATGTCAGTCAATGAATGAAAGTGTTTAACATGTAGGCCGATCCTCTAATTACGATCTAGATTTAATATTCATATAAATCAGTGGTGTGAACAAAAACGAGTGTAAAACTGCGGATGCTTAAAAAGAAATTTTCAATGAGAGATCGTGATTAAATGTAGAAAGAATTCAAAATCAAACATTTTGAATGAATCTGCAATGAACAGTTTTGTTTGTACTGTGTGGAGCCCCGTAGAACGCTAAATGATTAATAAATATTTAAATAAGACATCGATAAAAATAAATATTTCGCATGATAATGTGTGCTTATATATGACATTTTAGAAATCAGTTCAAAGATTGTGATCATTCTCTAAATGTTAATTTATGTTAATATATGTTAATATATGTTAAACAGTTTTATTATAGTTAATAAATGATAATAAATGTTGATAAATCGCTATATATGTTAGCAAGTTTCAATGAATTTCATTAACAAATTTTTTTTCCAGTGAATGTGCACTAGTTTTTTTTGTTACAATAACAAACACCACATTTTGAACTTGTTTTCATGTCGAAGTTGATGCAAAAGTTGTTTATAACTAGGCTCATTTTAATAATAAAATGATTAAATAAATAAATGAATCAGTATATTCCTCTTTCCTTAAGTAGGACTCGAAAAATAAACTCATTTCGCCGAAAAGCATTCCGATTAATTGCATTGTCTCACTTTTTTTTAACAATTTCAACAACAAACTCACACAGTGCATGTAAACACACGTGAATCAAGGCGTCACACACAACATAATTTTATTTATTTATTTTTTCTCTGACTGACATGGCTCAGTCGGTTAGTTGCATCGTGGTCCTGCAAACCGTTCCATTGCAGCCCCTTTCGCCCCCCTGCACTCTACAACTCAGGGTCGTAATATTTCATGTGCAGCCGAGCAGTAAATTAAGACAATTTCTATTGAAGTTAAGAAAGTTAAAAAATTGATATAATATGATTTAATAAAATTGAATGTTTGAAATTGATGAAATTGAAGTTTCCTCCCCGTAAGCAAAGTTATCAAAATTGCGTGAAAGAGAAAATGGAAATTCCCATTTTATAATTTCACTTTCATTTATGCAGGCACCTACCGTTAATCATCTTAAACTTTCGCAACATCAGCTTGTGCATTTTAATTTAACACTTACTTGTTTGCATTTTTAAACTTCACAAATTGGTTTATATCGTAATCAGGAAACTCTAAAAATTGTCATCCATTCTGTTTAGTACGGATTTACACAAGCTGCGTCAACGAGATAGCTGCTATGTTCAATATGAAATTACATTTTTTTAAATTACACCACGATGAAAAGCTATCCATTAAACAAAACTTCCCACCTAAATAACATTCTGAAAACGAAGAAAACGAACGAATGCACAAGCTGAAATGAACAATTGAACGAACATCAAGAGGAACGGGTCCATGCAGGCAGAGAGCCAGCCAAAGAAGAAGACATGCAAACAACATTAGTGTCGTGTCGAAACTCGTGCAACATGGAGCGCCTAAAATTTGCATATATATGGTTTACGACTTGCTCGTGTCCCTGAGCACAATGCTTTGCTCGAATGGCAATAAATACGCGTGCAAGCGTGCAATCTCTGTCATGTTTAGCATCTATATTTAAAAGATTTATAAAGGCTCCAGGAGTGCCACGTTTGATTACGTGGAATGAGAACTGCTTGTTGTCTGATGCGTGCCGGCCTATCGGCCTTGTTTGACTTTGCTTGCTTCTGATCTTTTGATTCGTGAATATTATTAAGTGGCAGCCGCATGTGGGGTGTGTAACTGCTGTTTGCTCCATTCGTCGGCTGCTTCTTTGCAGGCAGCACGGTGGGCGGCTTGTTAGAACTCTGTTTCATTTAATATCACATTCATTATTTTGAAAAAAAAATATTTGGAAATAATCTAAAAGTTGATAACGGCCGATGAAAATGCTGGTCATGATGATCAGGTAGATGGTTCGTTTGATACTTCATAATTTTACAATATCATTCACCAATAACTTTTCAGTTTGTATTATATGGTTTGATAAACATTTTAGTTCTCGTAAAGGAGAACAATTTTGAGTATTCCATCCGTGAAGTTTTTTGGCTGTTCAGTGGAGGGGGGTGGTTGAGTTGTTTCAGTTCAGTGTTAAACTCGTTGTTTTGTAAATTTCTGTTTGAATTGATGCTTTGTGAGAACATGAAACAACTTTGCAAGGTGACAAACAAAAGTTTGCTACCATTTTCTATTTAGTTTTGGAACTACAATCAGCTGCAAATGTGAGATATATTTGAATGATACATCTCTGTTGCAGCTGAATGATACATTCTAAATGATATGATATCAGTTCTGGAACTACAATCAGCTGCAAATGTGAAATGCATTTGAATGATACATCTCAAGGTTGCAGCTGAAGGATACATTCCAAATGATACATTCCAATGTTTTTAGTTGAATGATGCATCCAAATACTCCGGTCTACTGATAAATCTTTAAAATAAAATGATTGAACGCCACCGATGCATCTATAACTCGAAAACATTAATCCTATGAAATTAAATGAATGAGATACTTCTACTATAACAACAACAACAACTACTACTACTACTACTACTATTACTATTACTACTACTAATACTACTACTACTACTACTACTACTACTACTACTACTACTACTTACTACTACTACTACTACTACTACTACTACTACTACTACTACTACTACTACTACTACTACTACTACTACTACTACTACTGCTACTGCTACTACTACTGGTACAACAACTACTACTACAACTACAACTGCTACTACTACTACTACTACTACTATTAATACTACTACTACTACAACAACTACTATTACTACTACTACTACTACAACTACTACTACTACAACTACTACTACTACTACTACTGCGGCTTCTCACTTTTTTTAAATCCTACATAACCTTTTATTCAATCTTTTTCTTAATTCAATTGAAACCTTTCAACAGAGACATCGCAATTCTTCAAAGCAATGTTCGTGTTGTCGAACTGTCACTCTGAACTGTATCTGAAAAGCATCATCGGATGGAGTTTGATGGCAACATTGAGAAGAATACACGTGATGCATACTCAAGATGCATCCAATGCATTAAAAATGAATGCGAACGTCGACTGCAGACACTGGATGCCTTCCTTATTCTCAAATAACTTTCGGAGTTGTAACTCCGTAGGGTCGCATCATGGATGTTGTCGTTGTTGATGATGATGTTCTTGTTGATGATGTTGTTGATGATGTTCTTGTTGTTTATGACGATGTTGTTGTTGTTGTTGTTGTGGATGCTGATGTTGTTGTTTGTTGTTGTTGATTTTGTTGTTGTCGATGTTGTTGACGATGATGATGTTGTCGTTTTAACTTTGCTACGGTTGTGAAATTTTTCGTTGTTTTTTAAATGTATCTTTGACGTTAGTCGTCGTTAGTTTTGTTGTTGCTGCTCCTACGGCTGTGGCTGTTGTGGTTACGGCTGCTGTTTCTCCGTATTTATTCAGAACTGGATGTTTTTAGTAGTTTTGTTTACTGCTATCTTTCATATCGTTTTTACAAAAATTGTTGGAAAAAAATTGTTGTTGTATGGTTTAATTTGCTTGTCAATATTAAATGTAGTCTGATTTTTATTGGTGCTGTTCATTGCTCTTTACGCTATTTTGATGATGTTTTTGAAAATCCTTTTCAGTAGTTGCCAATAACTTTTTGTTTTCCTATCCAATTTAATAGCTGATATTGCATTTTCAACATAACCCTGGAATATTGCATTAGTGAATGCGAATCAACCACTGGCTTTGTTAACCATTTGCCTAGGTTCACTTAGTGAAATGTAATAACAACTTTTATGCGAAAATATAAAACTATATTAATTGGAAGTCTCATTTTCAAAGCATTCAGTGCAGTCATTTCCCTAACAACAAATTTTCTTATCACCTCTTCATCACGTTATCAACGTTGCAACGAAGTTAGGAACTGTTGCACCGTGCGACAGAGCAGCATTGCAACAACGAGTCTGTAAGGGATGTTGATGCTGCTTCAACTTATTTATGCATGACGTTTCATGGTTTCTAAGCTCATTCACTCATGTCCGCCAAGTTTTATTTGAGTTATTTTTTTTAAATTTCAATACTGCATGTGTGTGTGTGGTGTGTGTATGTGTGTTTACGTGTGTGTGCGTGTTCACGTGTGTTATTGTATTCTTAAAGGGAAGAGAGATTTGGATCGATAATTGATATCATTCCACAGTTCGGAGTGTTAAAATATTTGCGTTGTCTGTGTGTGCATGATAGCAAGAATGTTACTACATCAAATGTTTAAAAATTTCAAAATCAATTTCAACGTCACATCAGCTTATAATTACCCCATCAACGTCACATCATCATCCTAACACCACCACAATCAACATCCACACCAGCATCATCATCATCTCATCAACATCACCATCATCCCATCATCATCATCATCATCACCCCATTAACATTATCATCCTCATCACCCCATCATCATCATCATCATCATCACCCCGTCATCACGTGATATTCAGAACACACCTCCTAGGAACTGAAGGCCCTCAATCATCGACCTACTGAAGATGTTCAGAATTATTTTCAAACAAAGCATAAAATTTTCAGTGCTGCAAAGTGTGTCTGCGTAAGTAATTGCAGTTAGCATTTTAACGCAGCATCATTTACATCTTGAATCCAGATGAAGGATTTTGAGAAATTTCTTGTATGAGGGAATCTTTTGGCCTCAGAAATAAATATTAAAAATGATTGAAAAACTTGTGTTAGAACATTACCACCATTATTTTAGATGATGTTATTAAGGCTGGTTTGGCCTTATATATATTTAATCATAT